AGAAGAGAGGGGGGAGGGGGAGAAGAGTGGGGGGAGGGGGAGGGAAATGGGAGGCTGGGAGGAGGCGGAAACTTTTTTTTTCTTATTCTCAATAAAAAAAAATTTATAGTAAAAAAAAAATAAAAAAAAGGACACTCTGAACTGTTAACCTTCCCAAAAACAATGACACCATCCTACAAGTCCTGGATCCAGTGCATACATCTGGGCACTGAAAAATGCTGTTGAATTTCCTTCAGTTTTCACTCAAACCACCATTCCACATATCATGGGGACAATCAAACAGGCCTGAAAACATTTACCTGTATCTAATCTATTTCCATCTTTTCTGGTCAGTATATGCAAAGAAGTTTGTATTTATGACTTGGAGAACCAGCAAGACAGAAAGGGGCAGAGGAGACTGACGGAAGCATCTCTGGGTGGACCCACATGCTAACAGACATCTCTTTGATAAGTTATAAGCCTCCATTATTACTCTAAACTTCACATTGTCAGAATGCCGAACACAAACCAAACTCAAAGACTGTGCATGAGATCACCGTGTAATCCACAGAGTGCCTGCACTGCCCTGAGTTCCTGAGGTCAGCAAGCAACAATGTGTGATGGTAACACAGGCGAGCACTGACCGTGATCCGGGGCAGCAAGGTCTATGCTCTGCCTCAGGCTTGCTCTGTACATGCATACACAGCTGAGGATTTGCATTAAGAATTCATTTGCACATGAAGAATTCTCTCGAGCTTCCACAAGGATCTAAAATCTCCCCAGGCAGCCTGTTTTCGCATTTTTGTTTTTACGCACCAGTGCTCTGTCTCATCTTTTTCTTGTCCTGAAGACCACATGACTCTCACCCTTCATCTGCTACCTGTATTTTAAAACTCCTGAACAGGCCACCTCTTCCTTGTATGCTACTGTCCAGGTGATATAGCAATGGGCGTTAGTCTTTCCCTTCAATTAACTGAGTCAGGGGAAAAGACTTCAAAAAGACCGACAGACAAAGGTAAAAAGTAGAATCCTTCTCCACATCCACAAGTCTAAAATACATGATCACGGCATAACACACGGCAAGATCAAATGCAAGAGAAACAATCAAAAGTGGGGGAAAATCAATACATTCAGTTGTTGGCAAACCAATTGGACAAGAATGCAATTGTTCTATAGTTGGTGGGGAAAAGCAAAACAGAGAAGCACAAGAACCAACTTTTTATTCTTTCAGCAGTAAAGCGGCTGGAACCTAATGCTTTGTGCTTGCTAGGCAAGTGCTCTAACACAGAGTCTTACCCATAATCCTCATTTTTTTCCTTAAAGAAGTATGCACATCAGCTGGGTGGTGGTGGTGGCACACACCTTTAATCCCAGCACTCAGGAGGCAGAGGCAGGTGGATCTCTGTGAGTTCGAGGCCAGCCTGGTCTACAAGAGCTAGTTCCAGGACAGGCTCCAAAACTGTTTCTCTGTAGAGAAACCCTGCCACAAAAAAAGAAAAAAAAAAAAAAAGGTATGCACATCAAACAATCTTACCTCAGTACAGAAAGTCCGTCAGGAGAATTGTCTCCTAACAGGGATCAGGGGCAGTCACTGACTCTGTCACCTGCTTTTGGGACCCTTTCCTCCAACTGGGTTGCCTTGTGCAGCCTCAATAGGACAGGAGGTACCTGGTCTTACTGCAACTTGATATACCATGGCTGCCTGATATACATGAGAGGCCTGCCCTTTTCTGAAGAGACAGAAGGAGGAGTGGATGAGGGAAACGAGGTAAGGTTCAGAGAAGGCTGGGGGGGGGGGGAGGAGAGGGAAGGGGAAACTGTGATCATGCTGGAAATTTTAATCAGTTAAGAAAAAATAAATAAAATTCAGGCAGGCTAGATGACTCAACAGGTAAATGCATTTTCCACCAAACTTGAAAACCTGAATTTGATCCCCTGGGACCAATATGGTGAAAGGAGAAAACTGCCTCCTGAGTGCTGTCCTCTGACCTCCACACACTCTATGTGGCATGTGTGCCCAGACACACACATACACCTGAATAAAATAGAGATATGGTTAGGCATGGTGGTATACACCTTTAATCCCAGTACTTTGGATATGATGGAACTCTGAGTTCTAGGACAACCTGGCCTACATAGCAAATTCTAGGCCAGCTAGGCCTGGCTAGGGCTCCACCATGAAATCCAGCCTCAAAAGAAAGAAGAAGTGTGCATGTGTGCATGTATGTATATGCATGTATGTGCATGAATGCACATGCATGTATTATCTCACTATCATGTGTATGCATGAATGCAATGCATGTATTATCTCACTATCGTGTGTGTGCATGAATGCACATGCATGTATTATCTCACTATCATGTACATGCATGAATGCACATGCATGTATTATCTCACTACCACAACCACTGCAATTAAAGAACGAATTATCGATACTAGAAAAATAGAAGAGATAAAGCCATGACAATCTGAAGAAAATAAAGACTGTCACTACTGTGCTAGGAAAACCCAAAGAAATGAGTACGGAAGGATTCAGAAAAATTATAATAAAAATAAGCATCTCTCTCAAAATCCAGTTGAGGGTAAGACAGAAGAGCATAATGTGAATATACACAGAATTTCTAGGAATAAAGCATAAGAAACGCTTATTGAGAGCAACTGGTCCAAACATCTAATTTAGTCTACAAAGTCAACGTTCAGTTCAAATCTCAAAATGATTTATCAATCATTTTTTTAAAAATATGTAAACCAAGGTGTGCAAGGTTTGTTTATTTGTTTGTAAGACAGAATCTCACTATGAAGCCCTCAGTGGCCTGGAATTCACTCTGTAGACCAAGATGGCTTCAAACTCTGGGATCCACCTGCCTCTGTCTCCCAAGTGTTGAGATTAGAGGTGTGCGCTACCACATCAATCCCATATATGCCTTTTCAAGCATGAAGAATTTGTCTCCAATTTTAAAAATAGATTAAAATATTTCAGTGAATAAAATAAAGATCCACTCGTAAAATAGAAAAGTGACAAAGAAACCCATGTGTGTGAACATTCAGACAACAGAACATGATATCCGTGAAAAATCAGTCTTGATTAGAACTAAAACATCA